CAATCTAATAGATAGTGGGACATTATGGTATGCTTTTAATTGTTGAACACAATCAAGATCTCTGACACTGTTTAAAATGAGCTAGTTTACATGCTAGGTCGGTGTTTCTCAACCTTTCCCAACACAGTATTTGAGGTAACCCAACCCCCTCTTCTATGCTTAGCTATTTTAGTTTTTTTTTTTTTTTACTATAATTATGTCAAAGATGCTTTTTCAAACTATTTTTGTTTTCTGATTCCAGACATTTTAAAAAGTGTATGTTCTTCAATAAAAGTATAAAAATATATATTATCTTTACTTATTATTATTTTTAATTTATTTTATTTAGATGAGTATATATATACTACAGGGTTGTTGAATGCTTGAATCTGATTGGTTGACTAATGTTTTCCAGACAGGTCTTGACTGCATTCCATGTCCACATAATACTTTTAAGTCATCCTGTAGCCAAGAATGGAAGTTGTGCTGGGTTATTTGAATGGTAGATACGTTTATGAAATGTATTAAAAAATATATTAACTACGTTATATTAATGTAGTGTGTCAATTTTTATCTTATCTGTGTATCTAGTGTTTTCTTCGGGGAATCGTCCTTGTGCCGTTCCGTGGCATTTTCTTGCTTCTCGTTCTCATGATCATGTGGCCAGTTTCTGTCATGATAACATTCGGACAGTCTCTGAAAGGAGCAGTGGAGCCCATGACTGGCTGGAGAAGGTAAATACCGGTCCCTGTTCACTCATGTTAAACACATACATGCCACCTCCTACATTTCAGCACAAGACTAAAATATACCTTTTTATGTGCGCCTTTTTTGAGCTGCATATTGTCCTGGCCTACTAACTAAACCTGACCGTTAGCACATCAAACCTTACACCTTAAACTTACAGATGACCACTCTTACCATTTTCTGATTTTGTCTTAGTTCCTGATTTGTTTCTTTTGCTACATGCTAAAAAGATAAACATAAGCTAATAGTGATTTGTCAGGAATTGTGGGTGGGAGGAAGGTGGGTCTATGTATTTTTATGTGTGTTTGTTTCCTCTGTATTAATAATAGATGTGAGAGATGATGATGTGAAATTTGTGGTTTGCATATCAGCAGTTACACATAATTGCTGCATTACAGAACACCCCCATTCTGTTTAATTCATGCTTCTCTGTCAAACAAGCCACATGGTTTCTTGCAAAACAGCTCATTTTGCTGTTTCTCGTTTCTTCTTGGATTGACCACACTGATCAGATTAATTAAGTCTTAGCGTAGGAGGTAGCGCGGCTGTTGGAGGGATGTGGTTATTCTCTAAACTGATGCAACAACGTGCTGATCTGACACCCGATGAGCACACGGTGTCAAAGCCGTTAAAGCAAGGTTGTTGTGCTGTGTGTATGTGTCAGTATGTTGGACTCATTGATGTCATGTTTGTGTGCTTGTGTATGTGTGTTTGTGGGCAGGTTCATGCACAAAAGAGTGATGACCTTTCTAGGCCGGCTGTATTTCTTCGGCATGGGCTTCAGGGTGGTGGTGAAGGGGAAGCAGGCCAGCAGTGTAGAGGCCCCCATTCTAGCTGTGGCCCCCCACTCTTCTTTCTTTGATGCCATTGTCTGTATTGAAACTGGTCTACCCTCTACTGTATCCCGTTCGGAGTCCCTGGAAGCACCAGTCTTTGGCAGTATGGATATTTGCATCAATATTGGTCTACACAAAAACAAAATCTAATGGCAAATGATTTCATAATGTGTTCCAGTAGCTTTGAATATGTATGCTTTGTTTATCAGTTTAATTTCTGTTACTGTGAAATTGTGAGTACCACAGACAACACAAAGAAACAAACCAAAACTAAACCAGGGCAGAAAGAATACAAAATGTTGTTAAATAGACATTATTGATGTTAATTTTGCATGTGTTATTATGACTATTATCATTACTTAGCATTCCCTTCTTCTTCAGTGGGTAAGATGATATTATGTTCCCCAGGGTTTTTGCGCTGTGTGCAGCCTGTGCTTGTTTCACGCAAAGATCCAGACTCTCGTAGAAACACTATCCTTGAGATTGAGCGGAGAGCAAAGTCAGGAGGACACTGGCCACAGGTGAGTGTCTCTACTTCTAGCATCCTAAAGGCCTGTAACACCACTAATTTACTCGATTACATCATACATGAAAGATTACACTGCCTCATTAAAATTATTTTATTTTTATTTTTTACATATGTGACTTTAAAATGGTCAAAAATAAAACCATGTTAAAAAAAGGTTTAAAAAATACCTTGTGAATCTGACAATGTAAAACCAAAGTAACAAACAAAGTGTATTCCACATTTTGAAAGCAGGAAATTACTCTTAGACCTGTACTTCCCCAGCTACAATAAAGAATGTCCGGTTCCCAAACAATGTTTGGTGTCAACATTTTGGATTTTTAATTAGTTTCTCCAACTGTATTATTTAAGAAGTAAATGTTTTTTAGCAATCAAACTGTGATCTGTGATTTTTATCCATCATAAACCACCATGATACAGTAGCTATGGTACCACTGAAAATATCACTGATGTTATTTTCTTTTTTAGGTGCTCATTTTCCCTGAAGGAACATGTACGAACAGATCATGTCTCATTACCTTTAAACAAGGTTAGCAGATTGTGTTTATTTGAAATTCTATTAATTATGCATATTAATTATAACATAGACACTATAATAGATATAACATAGATGCTATAGTACAAAGTCAGTACATAATGAAGATTGTGTATGAACTGCACCGTATGGAAATCTTGTTGTCTGTTATCAGATAACTCATTTTCCTAATGCAAATGTATACAAGAGAAGGGAAAAAGAAACTATCATGGTATTATAGGTTTCCAAAGCTTAGTTTGTTTTGGCGTACTATAAAAAGTAGAATGAGGTCTGCTGAAGCC